AACATTCCTTACCACTACCCATCACTGAAAGAAAGAGGTTCTGAGGTGTTCTTATTGCATGCTTCCTCCCTGATGGAAAACGTTTTTCAAAGCATGAGTGTATTGCTGATAAAGACTGTCCACTGTCCAAAAAGTTCTGAATGATCACCATTTCTACCTGGGAGGGGATGAACATAGTCACCTTGGCCATGTCTGTATCCAGAAGATCACAATTATCTTATCAAAATAAGATAATAGCTGCTTATAGTCACTAGTAGTGGGAGAGAGTGAGGCAGTAGGGAAAAAAGAGGGGAGAAAAATCAGGGCAAGGGGTGTGTGTGTGTAAGATAAGTAATTTTGGAGAGAGCTGTTTTAGTTGTTTCAGTTAGAAACCTGTTTTCAAGCAGTTTGAGAATTGCGTGAGAGAAAAGGAAATGGTAGCCAAGACCAACATCAGTTTGTAGTACAGAATCATTTGCAGAATCTCCCAGAAGAGGATTTTAGAAGATAATAAGCAATCTTGCTTATTATCTTATTATTATTATGCTTACTATTATTACAAGGGCACATACGAATAAAACTAGAAGGTAGACAACAGATGAAAATTGAAAAAAAACTGTTAAGTTTTTAATTAATAGCTGTCATTTATACAGCACTTAAGGGTTTGCAAAGTAAAGTTACATGTGTTAGGTCATTTGGTTCTCACAATGACCCTGTGACCCCCATTTTACAAATGACGAAATAGGCACAGAGAGCTTAAGCGATTTGTCCAGGATCACACAGATCATGAATATTTGCAGTGAGATTCAAACTCAGGTCTTCCTGACTCCAAAGTCATTTGCTCTAGTCTGCTGCCCTGTCCTCTGCCTAGCTGCCTTTAACAAACTCCCCTATCATTAAGACCAGTGTGCTTTATGAGGAACTAGAATAAGGGCAGGAGCCAATGCGAATAAAGATGAGGAAGAACAGTAAGACCAAAGAAGCATACATAGAGGAGAAGGGCCATGCTGGAGGAGAAACAATTTTGAAAGTAGAGAAGTCTAGTTTCAGATTACCTGAAAGAGAGGAGAATATTAAATGTTTAGGGGAAAAACATTTACTTTCTGATAAAACTAATTTTTAATTGGATGTTTTCTGTTTCTTACATCATTACATCATTATAGTATCCTATTTGAACTTCCCCTCTCACACTCCCCATCCTAGAGAGCTATCCCATAGGAAAAATAACGTTTTTTTGGAGGAGAAAAGAGGTGTGTATATGTGTGTGTGTGTGTGTGTGTGTGTGTGTGTGTGTGAGTGAGTGTGAGAGGGAGAGAGAGAGTGTGTGTATGTGAGAATGTAAGCACAGCTGATCAATACATTTAAACTGTGTGCAGTATAGAACACCTGTGGACCCCCAACCTCTGTAAGAAGGGATTGGTTGGGGGTGTCTTCTCATAACTCTTCATTTGATCATTTTATTTTTGCTACATTTATTTTTGATTTTTTTTTGGTATGTTCTTTTCTTTGAATTTTAAATCATTGTAGTTAATGTGGATATTTTTTCTTGATTTGGCTTACTTCACTCTGCATTAGTTCATATAGATCTTTAAATGCTTCTATATATTCATCGCATCATTTTTATAGCACTGTAATATTAAATTATATTCATATACCACAGTTTTTTTAGTTATTATCCAATTGATGGGCATCTACTGTATTTCCAGTTTTTAACTATCACAAAAAGAGAAGCTGGATAATGAAGAGAGTGTGAGAAACCCTTTTTGGAAAGGGGTGCAGAAAAAATGAAATTGTAAAACTAGAAACAGAACTAGCTTCAGGGGAGGACAGCAAGGGGGAATATGAAACAAAAAGAGGGAATTAGAGATGAAGGGAATAGAGTCTGTGAGAAAAGGTCCATCTTATTAAAAAAGATTTAAAGTAAAATACCTACAGGAACATTATACTGTGTTTATAGCAGAAGAGGGAATTTGAAACTGAAAAACTTCTGCACAGTCAACAAGTTTTAATGTATTTTATTAGCTCATTTTATCCTCATAACAACCCTGGGAGGAGGTAGGTGCTATTGTTATACCCCCATTTTACAGATGAGGAAAATGAGGCAAAAGAGGTTACTTATTCACATAACTAGCAAGTGTGTGTGCAGTGAGTATGCATTTGAACTCAGGTCTTCTTAACCAGGCTAGGAATTCTGTCCACTCCATGACCTAGCACTGCCCCATGATAGGGCCCTTCTCCCATCACAAAACTTGTTCTCTGAAGTTTGGATTCAGTCAAAGAGCTGCACTTGAGGACCTGGAGGGCCACATGTGGCCTCAAGGCTGCAGATTTCCCATGCCTGTTGGTATAAAGCCCACCACTGATTTCTACCATTTCTAGTTCACTTTATTTCCTCCATTTGCCTGGAAATCTCCTTGTGTCCATGCTCTCCTACTCTTCCGGTTGTCTTCAGAGGTTCCACATGTGCTCTTCTTCCTCTGATTTTGTGAGCACCAGTTCCCTCAGACTTCATCCATTGTAAAGTTCTCATCTCCTTTTACTAATAGGAACATTAGTTAGCAGAACCCCCTCCCACCTCTTTTCCCTTCCTTCCTCACCCACTTCACTGTAAAGGCTGTATTCTTTCTGAGATCACAGAAGTCACCTTCCCCTCATTGCTAGCAGTTGGTTTGACTCCATCACATCAGTTCTCTCTGTCTGCCTGCTCCCCTCTACTACCTGCCTATTCCCCTCTCCACCTTTTATATATCCTCCCACATTGCAGTGTAGTCCCGCAATAGAAGCATTCACCTGGAGGCAGGTCCTTAATACCTCCTGTCTGCCTCACTGTTACCTCTATCAGATTTCCACTTTCATAACCCTGTCTCCCTGTGTGCATTTAGAAAGAAGTTTCTGTTGTTAGTCTGTTGCTGTAACTATTCTTGACCTGCTGCATTTATTCATTCCCCTTGCATCTCTGCTTTTTGAAGTGTTGAGAGGCAAATCATTTCTTTTGAAAAATATTTCGAACTTTTTATTATTGACCATCTTTTCTTTTTGTCCTATATGGTTAAACTCAGATTTATAGGATGGGTCATTGTGGGCTGCATCCTGAGCTCCATTGCTCTTTGGAACACATTATTCTATTCCTTCCTCCTCTTCTATTGGGTCTGGAATAGGCTTGCATTATTCAGATGTTCTTTTCTTTGTATTTGAAGGTCTTTTCCTGATGGCTTTAGAACTTGTTTCTGAATCCTTAATTGTTAAATTTAACCACTATGTGTCTTTGGTGTTTGTAGCCTTGAATTTTTTTTCTGGAGGTAATCTGTGATTTCTTTCACTTGGAATTTCATTTTCTATATTCAGAAGTTCTGGGAAGTTCTCTCCTATTCTACATTTATTTCACTTATTCATTTCATTCTTTTAAGGGTGTTTTTGTCCTTTGATGTTCTTCTGGGAGACCTGTGATCCTTAGGTTCTCTTTACACATCCTGTCTTCGAGTTCAGTATGTTTTGCTTCTATAGTGAACAGATTTTCTTTTAACATTATCATTTATTGCTTCTCTTCTTCTAGGTTGTCCTTCACTTCTGTGTATTTGCACTTCCCAATCTGTTGTTCTTTTATTTCTTTAGTGAGGCTTGCCATTGCAGATTCAGATTTTTCTATTCTGTTTGTTTTTGCTGTGCAGGACATAAATTCCCTTTACATAATTTTCATTTTTCTTTTAAACTACTCAGTAATAATAGTGGGTGGCTGTTCCATATTCTTCTCAAATTCCACAGGGTCCTCTGTCTTATCAAATGTTGAATCATTTTCCTATATTTTGCAGTATTTATTCATAGGTACCTGAACTTTTTACCAGATCTGGAGGCCATATTCCCTTCTGTTACTGTTTTTCCTCTTGATTTATTTATATATATATTTATTTGTATATGAGTTTTTTTCTTTCTGAAGTCTTTGGTACTTTGAGTCTTCTCTCCCTGCTCCCCTCTTATTTTCTTATCATTTGCTTCCTCACTCTCTCCCCTCTGGTTGTGGTTTCCTTGGAGGCTAGATCTCATATTGTCTCAGCTTCCTCCCAAGATGGGCATTTCACAGTTTGACCAACTTAGGTCTGTGCCTCAAGTGACTTCTGGATGGTCAAAACTGGCCGCTGCAGTTGGTTGCTGTGCTCTTCCCTCAGTGGAAGTGGCACATAGTGGTGGAGCGCTGCATAGCTCCCCAAAGACATGGTGTCCTGTCCTGATGATCTGCCTTTGTGCTTTAGTTCTCTGGCCTGGCACAGACCGTTCAGAGCTTTGCTGCACTGGTGCTTCCTGGTTGCAGTCTCTGGCAGGTTTTTTCTTCTGGACTGTGGCCAAAGAGGCAGTCAGGGCCCTAGCAAACTTCTGCAAAGTGTAGCTTGGGTCTTCAGAACACTGGAAAGAAGGGAGAGGCACCAGGTTTTGGGGGTGGATTTTGTCTGCTTGTCTACTAGTGTAGCTTCTGGGGTAGTGTGAGAGGTAGAAGAGGCTGAGTGAGCTCGGGGCTTTTTTTTTTGTTCTGGGGCAGAGGGTTCTTTTTATCTTCTTTGGATTCTGGGTGTCCTAGATGGTGGAGACAGCTAGAGTTGTTTTATCTTTGGTTCACAATTTCTGTTTTGGAGAGCCTGGGAGAAAATGTCTAGTCTGACATCTTGTTGCTCACGTGACCTAGAAAATCTGTATCTTTATTAAAATAATAAGTATTTGCATAGAGATCATCTTTGAAGGTATGAGAAAGAAACAAGCAAGTTTTTAAAAATAATATATAATTATGCATTTAATCAGATTTTAACACGGAATTGTAATATTGATGACCATCTGATCTGCTTGCTTTTTGAGGCCATTATTGCTCTTCATTTTTTTATAAGTGGAAAATAAAATGAGAAATAGTGTACTGTTTGCTTAAGTAAAACTCCTGTTTACCAGAAAATAAACCACACTAAATGTAAGATTCTAATTCTTGTCTATTGATGTCAGATAATTTTGCCGGTAGATCTTCACAGCTATTTTTCTCATAGGTTATGCTTCCCCCTGGAGGCCAACATTCAGATGAAAAAGGTGCTAAAGAAGTTATCTTGGATGATGATGAATGCCCCCTGCAGATCTTCAGGGAATGGCCAAGTGACAAAGGTAAATAAGGTATTTCTCTTTTGCTGTTAGTCATTTAGTTTATATTGTAAACTCTTAAATTACTCGTTATTTTGATTGTGAGGCACTGTTTAGAGTATATTGCTTAGTTGATCAACAACCATTTATTACATCCTTACTAAGTGTCAAATACTGTGCTAGGTGGTGAGGATACAATTTCTTTTCTTTTCTTTTCTTTTCTTTTTTTTGGGGGGAGGGGAGGGCTAGGCAATGGGGTTAAGTGACTTGCCCAGGGTCACACAGCTAGTAAGTGTTATGTGTCTGAGGTCATATTTGAACTCAGGTCTTCCTGAATCCAGGGCCGGTGCTCCATTCACTGCGCCACCTACCTGCCCCCAGTATACAATTTCTAAAAGAGTTTATATTGTAATTAAGGAGAGGACAAATAGTTATAGAAGTGTATATAGAATATATATAAATGTAATAAAACATGTATATTATAATAAACATAAAATAGTTAAATACGAGAGAGGTCCAAAGTGAGGTCACTAGCAGTTGGGAACATCAGCTTAATGTAGAAAACATGCATGTGTTTTGCATCTGGAAGAAAGAAAGGGATTATAACAGTTGGAGGTGAGTAAGAAGTGAATTCCAGGTTTGGACAACCGATAGCACATTGGCAGAAAGACAGGTGAAGGATTATGTCTAAGGAGCCGAGAAAGCCAGTTTGGTTAGATCGTAGGTGGTGGATTGTGTCCTGTAAAGTTGGCCTGACAGGTGGGGGCAAGGTTGTGTACAGCTTTAAAATTTAAATTTAAAAAAAATTATGTAATAGGTTAAATACTTTGAAATTAAGTTGTTTCTGTCATCTAGTACAGTGTGGTGGTTGGTATATGAATGTGTTTGAAGTATATCGTGTTAATATGATAATAATAGCTAACAAGTAGAGAGCACTTCAAGATTTGCAAAGGGCTTTACATGTTATCTCTTTTGATCCTCACAGCAACCATGTGGGATTTGTTGTTGTTCAGTCATTTCAGTCGTTTCTAACTCTTCTTGGCCCTTTTTGGGGTTTTCTTGGCAAAGATACTTAAGTGGTTTGCCTTTTCCTTCTCCAGCTCATTTTACAGATAGGGAAACCAAGGCAAATGGGGTTAAGTGAGTCACCTTGCCTCAGGGTCACAGAACTAGTAAGTGTCTTATGCCAGATTTGAACTCAGGAAGATGAGTCTTCTGGACGTCAGACCTGGCATTTTATCCACTGAGCCACCTAGCTGCCCTAAAAATTGTTATTGTTACTTTGTAAGGAAGGTGCCTTATGTAGCAGATGGCAGCAACAAAATTGAGGGTGAGAGAGAGTAAGTGACTGGCCCAGGGGCCCATAGCTGGTACTTATCTGAGGCGGGATTTGAACTCAGACCTTCTTAATGGTCTATCACTCTTACACCTACTGTAGTGTCCTGTAATCTTCCTGGATACCAGAAATTTGAGAGAAGGATAGTTCAAAGGTCATAAGTGACCTTTGAAGCAAATGTCCAGAAAAACTTTGTGTTACAAATAAGATAATATTCATTAGAAAAATTTTCTTTCATAAAAATTCAGTAATTCTGAGTCATTCAAAATTAATGACACTTTGGAAAAACTAAATAATCAGATTCTATAATGAAAAGGACTCAATGACATGAATACAAAGACTGGGGTTCTAGTCATGTTCTGCCATCAACTCATTATATATAACTTGGGGAAGTCATTTAATTTCTCAAAGTCTTAGTTATTTTGCTAGATCTCTTAATTTCTGTATAGTTTTGAGATTCTGTGAAATGCTTGAATGATGTTAAAATATTAAAACTGAATTAAAATTCAGATGTCTAATTTTTCTAATTTAATGTCTCCTTAGTATATACTATCAAGTAAGATTGATAATTTCATTTTAAATAATTTAAATATCATTAGAACCTTAAAATCAGTGAATGTAATAAATGAAAATAAATAGTTATTTAGTGTGAAGTCCTTGAAAAGTTATGCTAGAGTTTTTTGAAATCAGCTTCCATAGTATATTGTCAAGAGTGATCTGAGATTTACTGAATTTTATACTTTTTTCCCTAGGAATATTAGTTTTTCAGTTGAAGAGGAGGCCACCTGATTATGTCCCAAAAAAATTGAAGAAGCAAATGGATGGAAAACCAGCAAAGGGGAAGGAAAGAGCTGATGGGTCTGGCTATGGCTCTTCACTTCCCCCTGAAAAATTGCCCTATTTGGTAGAATTAAGCCCAGGTAAGGGCTCTGGCTTACGCAGATGTGCTTACTATAACCTTTTTCTGTGTATTGGATCAGTCTCTTGACTGTCAAATTAGTTTTTAATGTGTGTTATATAAAAACTTGTGCCTATGAGGTCATAGTGTGACATTTTTACAGCAAAATAGTAATACCTTCTTATTTCTCAGTATTTGTAGGGATTTTGTTGTACTGCATTGAAGTAACATGTGTATGCTACAGGGAAATGGAAGACCGTTGCTCATAGAGGATTATAGGTCATAAATTAAGTCAATTTTTTTGCTGCAAACAGCTGCTTGAAAAGTTAATAAAACAAAAGATAAAATAAATAAAATTAAATTAAATTAAAAAAAAGATTTTTTTTTCAGGCAGAGGAAAAAACATACCCAGTCTAATTTTTATTTGTATAAACAGTTCCTAAAAACTGTGTTATGTTGGGTTGAATATAGTTCTATATACTATCTATATTTTAAAGAAAAAGTGTGCCTGGTATATTGATTGATGTATTACTTTTATGAAATGTAGACATTTAGGCTTAAAAAATTACAATCGAAAGTTCTTGGTTTTTGTTTTTTCTCTTTAATGATCTGCTGACTATTTTCAGGATTGTGTAAAAAACTAACACTATGCCACAGGGTTGCTACATGGTTGAGAATTATGTTCTCACTGTTTTATATGCCTATCATGTAAAATGTAAATATTGTTGTCATTTTGATGTATACATACATACACACACATTTTTCCATATTTGGTTCTATAGGTTTTATTCCAGAAGCACTATTATATCTGGAATCCTACCTTTAAAATCTGATTGACTAGAAGTTATAAATTGTTAGTGCAGAATTATTTTTTATGTGAAAGCTAACTTTGAGAGTAAGAACTATGTCTCATATTCTGGGTCTCATACATTTATTTCCAAAGCAGTCTGGATTTGACTGAGTTGTTATCTGATATATGGATTCTGTGTTTGATTTGGAAACCTTTTGACTCTAGGTTACTATATATTGTTATATGCAGGAGTTTGATTTTTTTTTTCCCCAATAACAATTTTAATACATTAGAACCAAAAAGCTTCTGTGATTAGGATTCACCTGATTGCTCACTTACCACACTATTCCTTTGGTACTAACTTTCCTCAAAAACTAATTGAAGCTGTTAAAGGGAAGTCCTTATAAGTTACAATATTTGAAACAATGGTGATGTGGCTTTAGGTAATAACTCTTGTGCTACGTAGTTTTTTAGTTATGTAAGTTAGGTTTTTTTAAAAATGTGTTTTTGTGTGTGTGTGTGTGTGTTTTATATGTATGTGTGTATGTATGTTAATTGATGGTGTTTTCTCCTGGATTTTTTTCAGTTAGTAACTTTAGTGTAGTATGGTTTTATTTGGATTCTTTGGAACCATGTCTGAACGTTTCTGTTTGGAAACTACTTTATTAGCTCAGATGATTAAGAGCTGACTTAAAAGTGGAACGTAGATATGGATGACTCCCATCATTTCTGTTTGTCTTTTGGAGATAGATAAATTTTTGGAAGCAAGCTTAATTTATTTCTTTGAAAAATAAACTTATATTGAAGCTGTTTATATCCCTAGTGCCTAAACCTGCTTAAATACATTGTAGGCAGTTTGCTAATCTAAAACTGACTGGGGATGAAGGTTTTTAAGTTTGACCAATTTTAGGGGCATTTTTATGGTAAGTTTGGAGAATTCAGTATACTGTTTACTACTACTTTAAATATGATCAAAATTTGGTACATCTTAGATTTGTACATCTCACTCTACTGATAATACTTCCAATTCATCAAGTAATAAAATATATGTATGAATGCAGTCAAGTAAGAAAGTAACTTTTAATGATAATTTCATGTAATATAATACTCTCTGCTATAACTGGCTTCCTGTACAGGCAGAGGTTTATAACTGTGTAGAATTTAAGGATACATTAAAAGTTTAGCACAGTCCTCTTACTAAATCATGACATAGTGCAGCAAAAAAACAAACACAGTAATAAAACATCTTCTTTCTTTCTAATTATTATTTTGAGCCAGCCAACATGGCTAAACTATCCGATTTGATGACAACATCTGTATTGAATAATATAAATATAAAACAATTTCCTTTTTTAAGAAAGAAGCACTTGTTGGTCTATTAACCCTGATGATGCTCCCTTTTGTAGCTTCTGGGTTATTGCTGTATTTCCAGTTAAGTATATGATCAGCCCAGATATATTTAAAAGCCTGTGGTTAGATAGGGAATTGAGATTTTGTTCAGAGGTTTTATTGAATGGATTGTGGGGGTGGGGGATAAGGAATATTTCTTCTGGTTTTGGATCAAAATACAGTCATTGGACAGCTAACAGAGTTGAAAAAATAGTAAGAGAACTCCTTATGTGGTAAACTAACTGTCGCTTTTGTGTATTGCTTGGTGACTGACCAATTGTCTCAGTGTTTGCTTTAATAGCTTGCCTGTTGGTTTCTACAACACCTTTACAAACAGTTCATCCACTGGTTTTTTTGGAGCACTGTTGTTTTGATCTTTGCAATTTTGAAAACTGGTGGGGGCAAAATGCACTTTTTCATCCTATAAAATTGAATTTAAGTGTTGTCTCACTACAGTTTCACCCTTTCCTGTCTTTTCTTTTTCTTCCCCCTTCTGCATGTACTGCATGGTATCTGTCCTGCTGATGCTGCCTTCACCTGGGTCCTGTGCATGTGTTCTTAACCCCAGGCAGAAGGAATCACTTTGCCTACTACAGCTATCACACTTACGAAGGTAATTCAATGTTTAATACTACTTTTATTAACCATATCACTAACCAATTGTCTTGGATAATGTACTGAAGTGGGTGTAAAAGAATGTTGCTGATGAAAAGAATGTTCTATAATCATTTTTAGAAGTTAGTTACGTGTTCTATAGGTAGTTATTTTAAAATAGCTTTAAATCATGGCTTTATTTTTATCTGACTAGAACTTGATAGGGATCTGTGTGTTCTTGGCCAGCTCTCTTATCCACTCCAGACCAATTTTCTCATCCATAGAATAGAGGGGTTGGACTTAATAATGGTCTCTAAGGTTCCTTTTAGCTCTGAAGTATAATGGAAGCTCATTAGTCAAAAGATGGCTTTGCTTCTTGGGGATGATTAGTTAGCTGAGAAGCAGAGTGGTGCAGTGAATTGAAGGTGGATCGTGTAATCAGCAAGATATTTGGGTTCAGATCCTGCTTCTGGTGCTTATTAGCTCTGTGACCCTGGGCAAGTCACAAAATGACTGTTAATTTTCTCATCTGTGCAATCAGGGTTATAATGCCTGTTTTACTTACTTTAAAGGGTTGTATAACTCAAATGAGATTATGTAAAAACACTTTACAAAACTTTAATGTGCTATGTATAAATGTCACTCGTTTGTTGCAGTTACAAATTTGAGAGCTATCTTTGGCTGTCTTTTGTTCCAACTCTAGGTGTTTGTAGGTTTGAGAATTACTCAACTTTCAAATATGAACTGACTGCCTTGGTTCATGATGGGGTGGAAAGTGCGAAATCTCTCCTGATTTATTTTGTCTCCCATAGAAATCAGTCTAGTTCTTTCATCACCTTGGCTAAGTTGTAGAAGAAAAATGGCAGAGATGAATTCTGTTTACGTTCTAACACAACAGGAATAGTTTCTTTCTGGGGGGAGGGATTTGTATATAATCTCATTTTAAATTGATAGATTCTCAATTGATTTGTATATAATCTCATTTTAAATTGATAGATTCTAGGAGCTACCTTTTAATGTGAACTGTTCCTCATAATAAAACTTTTTTTTCCAGTAAAACTAGTAATTTCTTGCCTTGAGATGTATTCCCCGTATTCCATGTACCTTTTTAATTACACTGGAATTTTCAAATGCTTTCTTTAGACAGCCATACATTGTTTCCATGTCAAAGGACAAAATATTTATTTCTCTTTTCATAACCATCATTTTTATATACTTAGGTTGCTGCATAAACCTGAAAGTATATTAGTCCTATTTTTTTATTTTAAGGAACTGTGCAAACCAGTAATCCTGATTTATCATCAGAAATCTGTAACCATAGCTTTATTATTTGAAATCAGTAAATTCACTTTTATTTAGTGCCTCTATGTGCCATTGTGCTAGGTGCTAAGAAAACAAAGAAAAGCACAAGATAGTTATTACTCGTAGTCTAGTTGGGAAGAAAATATGCATATAACTATACAAATAATGCAGCATAAATTGGAGATAATCAACAGAGGCATAACATTTCAAGAAATATTTCCAAGCATTATTTGTTACCCATTTTGATATTTGTGTATCTGGTTTTGTACTTGAACAATTTTATCTCTGTGTTTTCATTTTCACATTGAGAAGGGATTAAATAATGGAAGGAAAATTAATATTTCTTTTTTATTAGTTACTTTATTTTTATTTGTTATTTTATAGAAAATAAGAATGTAATAATCAAATTCAGCCCATCTTTCCTTAAATTGTTCTACCAGAGGTAATGAGTTATATAAAGGTTTTTCCAACAAAGTTACCCAAAATATTTTGTAGGATGGATGTAGGACTTCCTATCTACCTACATGTTTACATGTTCCCTCACAACACCTTTGTGAGGGAAGCACTTTTAAATTGCTTTGTATCTGTGAGCTATTTCTATTTATTGAAAATACTGCTCTTTTCTGAATGAACAGCATTTGTGTTCATTGTTTATAAAGGCTAACAAAAAGGCAGTACTTTTCATCTATACTATTCTCACACTTGCTTACAGTAGCATTTAGGAACAGTAAATGAAAAGACTAGGGGTGAGGAGTCAGAACTAGAATAGAAGTGTAAGCTGATAGGAGCTGAATGAGAGAGCACTTCTCATAATCTTCCTCTTTGTAGGAGATATCATTCTCTTTATTTTAAAAGTGCCCTAGACTTATTCCTTAGTAGATGGGAAATAGAAAAAAAAGAAAATAAGTAGCAAATGGCTTGCTAGTACTTAGGATTTCTTTTAGGGGGAAACAAGTTTACAGTTTTGTCTTGCTAGACAGCATTCCAAGCTTCTTTTTTAAGTTGTCCACAAGTGTGAGAGGATATGAATATATTTATTGATTTAAGAAAAGAAAAAAAAATGTCATTAGTTGAATTTTATAATCTGAGTCATTGTAAATGAACAAAAGCACAACACTACAGCATCCTGAGAGTTTCTATGTTGGAGATAGTAGGAAAAAGAAAGAATGGGAAGAAGAAATATTAGTTGTTTCTCAAACTTTATAACTCTTACCCACAATGATAGAGTAGCTCTCTACCTGGATCTAAGATCTTAGAGATAGATTATCCTATCTAGTTCAACACTCATTTCATTGATGAAGTTTAATGATTTTCCAGGGCTATTTAATTGGTAATATTAGAATGTGGATCTAAGTTACCTGACTCAAAACAAAGTGCTTTTCAAGTATGTGTATTTTTAAAAACTCAGCCTTTATAAGGAATTCCAAGTGAAGAAACTCTTTTACGTTGCCAAGGCAGTTCCACACTTAATCTTCAGCTTTAGTTTTAGATAGTAAAAAATTCCAGCCATCTTGCAAATCTCAATACGTGTTTTCATTCTTTGTCTTCACATTTAGGGTGTATATTGTGTGTGTATCCCATATTTTCAACACCCTGCCTACTTTTTCACCTTTATTTTTAATATGTTTTCTTTATTTCCTCTCTGTGCATATTTGTGCTTTTGTGGTTGTTTTTTTTTTCTTGCCATTAATTAGTAGGTTAATTTTTCCAGCAAATTGTGCTTAGGAGACCAGGAAAGCTGTTAACAGTCTGACAATTAATCCTTGATGACAGCTTCAATACTTTTTAGGAAAAAAATAGCCTAACCCACATGAAGTCAGAATTCAAATCAAAGTTTCTATCTTTTCCACTACAGCACTCTGAGATCTTACTGATGAGTGCATCTCCCACCAGTGATATCATTTATCTGTACTATCTTATAAATTCTTTTTAGTGGGTCTTAGCATGCTAGAAGTGTTCCTCTTGGTTTCTTAATATGCTGTACCAGCACATATATGCCTGTTTATCCTTCACTGGTACTGCTTTAATGACATGCCTCCATCTCGTACATGTTTCAAGCCACCTGTTATTGGAAGTATAGGAGGCGCAGTGAATAGAGTGCCAGGCCACAGAAGTCAGGAAGACTCATCTACCTAAGTTCAAATCTGGCTTCAGACACTTACTAGCTGTTTGGCACCGGGCAAGTCACGTAACCAACGCTGTTTGCTTTAGTTTTCTCATCTATAAAATGAACTGAAGAAGGAAATGGCAAACCACTCCAGTGTTTTTGCCAAGAAAACCGTAACTGGGGTCACAGAGTCGGACGTGACTGAACAACAAATTTATACCTTCAAGTCTTTTCATTACTCTTTGGGTTACTTCCAGTTTTGATTCTTTGGAAATTTGTTTTCCGTGATTTCCAGCCATATTGAATCATTGGAAGAATATTGGTATTATAAATATAGTATTTTATTTTAGGGAGAAATTTGAAGGTTTGAAGGCACTGTCTGTTTTCCCAATTGCAATTTAGCTTTCTTTTCTTATTCCTGTTCAGTTCTAACTTCAGCCCGTTGTCTATCTTCAGTGACTGTCCAAAGCATATTTATAATAAATTGTTTTCACTTAGGCTTTCCTTGCAGAGTTTTTATAATAATAATAGTTATTGACCAAACTTTAGACCTTTAGAATTCTCATTTAGAAATACTATGTACTAGTACTTGATATATTATACACATTATCATCTGTAAGTTCGAGCATTTGGAGGACCTCATTGTCTATAGGAAATCATTTTTACGTTTGGACTCTGTCCTGGACATCATCTGTGACAGTGGCAAATACCTGTTGCATGTGTACACATATTGTGGTTTTGTGCCTTGCTTGATATTGATATTAAATAGAATTATTGAACAGTTATTCCCATTCTCTGTCACAGAATTTTTTATGATCTTAAGAAATGTGTAGAAGAATCTCCTCACTGAAGGAAATTCTTTAAGGCTACATTTTCTTCCAGTCACTCAAATGCTTTTTTGTAATCAGTTCAATAAATGGAATGCAGCCTTTCATTCTCTGCACATTGGAGGCAGTTTTGTGATTATAGACATGGACTGCTATGGAATATGGCTTGCCCCAAAGTATTCCTTTCTCATATTTTCACATCTTCGTATGTGTTTAGGTTTTTCTGTAAAGTTAGATGTTGGATTAGTAGTTATTAATGTCCTTTCCATCATCTTTTTTCAGTAGTAATGCTCTCTCTGATACTCTTACCTTATTTTCTTCTAGACATTTTAACTTTGATCATTCCACACCTTCAGAAAAGTCCCTTCCAACCTGGACCTCCTTTGTATATTGGTCTTGTCTAGGTTCTGTTCCTGTCTTACTGTTTTTGAGCACTATTTCTACTTCATGTAGTACTTCAGGGGCCCCAGTAGTTTCCAGATATTAAAATATATTTTGACTTATTTGGAGAATTTCCCTTCTTCTTTACTCCTGCTTTGCAGTAAACATTCATATGTAAGCAGCAATTATCTTCAGGGTGTTTTTTTAATTTGCTTATGCTCATCTTTAGCATTGTGAGATGAGATGACCAAATGAACTGAAATATGTGTGTGTTTGCCCATACCTTCAAATCCCTTCCAACTTATTCTTTTTTTCTCCCTTCCTTCTTCCTTCCTTTTTAAAATTTTATTTCAATTACATGTAAATATTTTTTAGAATATATATTTTTTAAAATTTTGAGTTCCAAATTCTCTCCATCCCTTCTCCCTGCTTCTTACGAAGGCAAGCAATTTTTTAATATAGCTTGTACGTGTGAAGTCATGCAAAACATATTTGCATATTAGTCATGTTACAAAAGAAAACACAGACCAGAAAAAAAAATCAAGAAAACAGAGTTTTAAAATATGCTTTGATCTGCATCCAGACTCCTCAGTCCTTTCTCTGGAGGAAGATAGCATTTTTTATCATAAATCTTCAGATTTGTCTTGCTAAGTCATTCACAGTTGATCATCGTACGATATTGCTGTTATTGTGTACAGTGTTCTCTTGGTTCTTCTTTCTTCATTCAGCATCAGTTCATGTAAGTCTTCCTAGATTTTTCTGACGCCATCCTGCTCATCATTTCTTATAGCACAATAATACTCTGTCACAATCATATACCACAAATTGTTCAGCCATTCCCCAATTGATGATAATCACCTCAGTTTTTAATTCTTTGCCACCACAAAAAAAGAATTGCTATAAATATAGGTCCTTTTCCTTGTTCTTTGATCTCTTTTGGGTACAGACCTAGTAGTGGTATTGCTGGGTCAAAGGGTATCCACAGATTTATAGCCCTTTGGGCTTTGTTCCAAATTCTCTCCAGAATGGTTGGATCAGTTTACAACTCCACGAACAGGGCATTAGTGTCCCAGTTTTCCCGCATTCCCTTCAGGATTTGTCATTTTCCTTTTCTGTCATGTCAGCCAATCTGATAGGTGTGAGGTAATAGTACCTCAGACCAACTCTCTTACTACCATTTCCAGGAACAAACTATAAACCATCCTACTTACCTGCAACTTCTTATATCTTTCGAATTTTATTTGTGGTGAGAATGGAACTTGTTTGTTGGAAAAGAAGCTCACATTTAGAGTCGCAACAGCTACATTGATTTTGTTGGTAGGTAGTCCCAGAATCTGGTTGATTAAAACCTTCTGTCCCTGTTTCTGCATTATTCATTACATAGGCATTAGGGCTATTCTGTATTTCTTCTTGTCATGACTAAAGAATTCAAAACCTAGTGACCAGCTTAGTAATATTCATCCTTTGCATGTATAGTCAGACTTATCCTCCAGCAGCAGACTGAAGCTGTAACTTTCTGTATCATAGAAACTGCTGAAGCTTCTACTCTGTTGGCATAGCCTTCAATAACCCAGGATCATCTGTAAGACATAATGTAAGCATTGGAGTAGAGCTTTTGTTGACAATTGTATTTGGTAGTATAAAGTATATATTATCATAAGCTTTGAGATGAAGTTTTTTTTTTTTCATTTCTCTGACACAGATGGTTCTGACTCCAGAGATAAGCCAAAGCTCTACCGTCTGCAATTAAGTGTCACCGAAGTTGGAACAGAAAAATTTGATGACAACTCTATTCAGGTGAGCAAAGATATTGACAGCTTTCTCAGTTGATTTGAAATTCCAACATTTAAAAAATGATTGTTATGGCCTTCCAGTGCTATTTATATGTTAATCTTGTTGGTAAGTGCTATGCAGAATAAAATCTAAAATATACTTTCACTACCAGTTTGTTTAATTCATATCATACTGATACATTTAGAAAATAGATTAGATTTTATAACCAAAGTTTTCTTCATCTAGCTACATCTCAGTTACTGTCTTGGTTTCATTGTTAGTGGAAGAATCATAATGTATAATTGAATTAGGATTTAGGAAGTTTTGTCTTTATTGTAATCATAGAAATATGCAGTACTGTAATATGTCAGAGAGGATGAATGTATATTGAAAATAAGCTTTAGACAAAATTATTTTCAAGAATAAATAAAAATGGATTTAGTTGGTGATACATTTCTTGTTGAAAATTTAGAAGCATAAATATATCACGTTTAGTATATTTAGTATAAAGAAAAATAATTACAGTTCATTAACCTTTTTTGTACACATTTTTTATGTGACTGAAATTTATATGATTTATTTTTAATTTTAGTTGTTTGGTCCAGGAATTCAGCCTCACCATTGTGACCTAACAAATATGGATGGAGTTGTTACAGTTACCCCTAGAAGTATTGATGCAGAGACCTATGTGGAAGGGCAACGTATTTCAGAGACAACTATGTTACAGAGTGGCATGAAGGTTCAGTTTGGGACATCTCATGTATTTAAATTTGTAGACCCCAGTCAAGATCATATTATTACCAAAAGATCTATGGATGGAGGACTAATGGTTAAAGGTCCAAGGCACAAACCTGGGTAAATATCTTAAACTTGTAGAATTTTGATGCTTCTTGTTCATTCCTGTTAATGACAGAATTTATTTATTTATTTATTTATTTATTTAATTTTTGTATGGGACAGTTTGGGGTTAAAAATTGTGTGTATATGTGTGTTATGATCTTATTCCATCTGATTCGTAAGACTTCATTTCATTGTAGTATTAATCTACCATTGATCAAATATTACTTTTACTGTATTTTTCTAATAGTGGTAATAGATTTCCCTGATAGGTACTTACTTTTTCTCTAGTGTCTCTTGTGACCGATTCATGTGCTTTTACAAGAAAACTGACTAGAGCTAGAGGTACAAACCATGGAACTTAGTTCTTCACTAAGTGAAGTAGGATAATTTATATTGGTTTGACTTTGCAGCCATGGATCACTGACTCCCATGACCACTTTTTTTTTTTTTAGTTGGCCAAGTTAATGGGCTGAACCAAAATGTTGTATTATTTTATGTAAATGTAATTCATAGGCATAATTAAACTAAAAATTACTGTACCTTTGTACATTTAGAGAACGTTTATTAGGAACAACTATGCTATTTATAAGTTGTTTCTAGTTTATATCCTACTTTTTTAGTTTTTTAGAAATGCATTTTTAGAAGTAAATACTGTAATGTTGATTATTTAAAATACTATAAGTTTATCTTGTGCTTTTTTCTGGACTTGTTCTTGTTTCCATTTCATAGATTATTAAGAAAGACTTTTCTAAAATTTTAGTCCAGGTGATTTGTGGTAAAGGTTCTAACTGTGTTTCATACTGCCTCATGTGCTGCAGCAAAAGTTTCTGACAAACTATATGCTATAAATAAGTTATAGGGATTAGGAAAACACATAGAAAATGATATAATTAGAGCATCTCTTCTGAATTCAGTGACTAATAACTGAATTTTTCTAGGTGTCTACTATGTTAGAAGGCCATTTCCCCCAAAAATCTTAAGATGCACTAATTGACTAATGTATTTATCTTAATGGCTCGTTTTATCAAACATATAAATATTACTTATTTGACAATTTATCTGTATTATAAATAGTATCAACATAAAACTATTTCAATTTAATCTAGGGTTATTCAGTTGCTGGACTCTCATTGTTTGTTTGTTCCATTCTTTGCTCATTATACCGCTTCCTTAGACCTTCGGAGCATTTTTAAAGCTAGTATGAAAGAGATTTCCTTTAGGTGTACTTATGGTTGTCACTCTCTAGAGATGAATGTGCTAAATAGGTAATCATGAGTAAGTATTCTTTACTCTTATGCAGGCTACCTGGATTTATTAGACTATTTGGCTTTAAGAATCGTTAACTATACTTCTCACCTTTTGGGCTCCTTTTAGCCAGAAAATGCTTTTTACTCTAATTCATTTCTGTACCTGTATCTATTAAAGTAACGTAGATTCTCAACCCCCACTATATATCCTTTTATCTCTATTTCTATCCCCTAATCACTACCCTTATTTTTCACTCTATTTTAAAAAACTCAACAGCTTTGCAAACAGTATATTAAAACTACTAATATTCTTTCTACCTCTTCCATATGATACAGGTTGTGAGGATGTAAATTACTTTGAGACATTTTATTATTTGGTTATTAAATGAAATAGAAAGAGAAGAAAGAGTGCTAAATGGAGTCATGAGGAAAGAACACTAAACTTGTAGTTGCAAGACGTAGGTTCTGATTCTGTCTCTGTCCTCAGACAAATCACCTAACCATTGAGCTTTAGTTTTCTTACTATAAAATAGAACTTGTAATTATACCTGCTAACTTATAGGGTTATTGTGAGAATCAAATGCGAAATTGTCTAAATTTTAACATACTATAAATTAGAACTATCATTATTATTATTTGAAATAGCCTTAGGTAGAATCCTTTTACCTGATGAAGGATATTACCCATGAAGTATATAATTTGGGCTGAAGAAACTGATCAATTTCTTTATTCAGAGTAGGTTTCTGTAACCTTGGATGATGCTAGATTTCTTATTGGAACTCCCAGATGAGAAAACTCTCTGAACCAATGTAGATCACCATTTTTGCAACTTGAAATATTGTGGAGTTGCCTGGAACATTTAGAGGTTAAGCAACTTGTCTGTGTTCACATAACCCATTATGTGTTAAAGGTGGGATTTAAACACACATCTTCCTATTTTTTGAGTCAAGTTCTATCCATTACACCTCTTCTGGGGGCTTCATCTTGCATACCAAATTATGCAATTTTTTAGTTTAAAGGGACCCCACCCAACATCTAGCTCAAACCATATCAGACAAAGAATCTTTAATACAATATAACCAAGAAATGGTCATGGAGACTGTTTAAAGGTTTCCAGAAGAGAGGAAACCACTCACTTCTCAAGGGGCCCATTCTACTTTTAGAAGGACCAGATTCTTAAGAAGTCTTTTGTTTTTCTTTTTTTAATTAATCAAGTCTAAATTTTCCTCTTTGCAACTTGTATCCATTGTTCTGCCCTCTAGAGCCAAACAGAATAAATCTAAACCCTCTTCCATATAACAGTTTTTCACTGTTTTGTATGGATCTGCTCTTTTCTAGCTAAACGTTTGATCTTGGTGTACCGTTAGCTTAAAACACATCACTATCATAATCAGCCCCTGGATAGTTTCCTGCTTATTAATCTCTTTAAAACTGAAATTTTTGTTGCATCATACATTCAATTAGTGAGCATTTATTGTCTCTTCCACCTAACTGACTGTGTGTTGGGGGGGCAGTTTGGAGGAGAGAAAACCTTATGCAAAGTCAAACGTAACAAATTTCCATGTTGGCCATTCCTAAAAATAGGAGTCTGTTTCATTTTGTCTCTACCACCTCACTGTCAGGAGATTGGTAGCATTGGTTGTTTTTTTCATTGAACAGGGTTCTTCTGAATTATCAGAACTCTAATCGATGTATTAACCAAAAGTTTTTCGAAGGTGTTTGTCCACAAAATTGAATTTCCTGTTGCTGTTTGTGCCATGATATTGTCTGATAATATAGCTTCCCTTTCTGCCTTTGTTAATCTTAACCCCCCATATGTTCTCTCCACTGCTTCTCCTCTTCTCTAGTTCCTAGATTTCCTTATGAGCATATATTCTTTTTTTTTAAAGATTTTTATTTAGAATTTTGAGTTCCAAATTGTATTCCTCTTCCTTTCCCTCCTTGAGACAGCAATCAGATATAGATTATACATGTACAATTATGTAAACATTTCTATATTAGTCATTTTGTACAAGAAGACTCATAAAGCACAAAAAATGAAAGAAAGAAAGTGAAAAATGGCATGCTTCAGTCTGTATTCAATCAGGTCTTTCTCTGGAGGCAGATAGAATTCTTCATCATTAGTCCTTTGGGGTTCTCTTGGATCATTGCATTGGTGAGAATAGCTAAGTCATTCACTGTTCTTCATCGAATGATATTGCTGTTACTGTGTACAACATTCTCCTGGTTCTGTTCATTTCACTATGCATCAGTTCATGTAAGTCTTTCCAGGTTTTCTAAAATCATCTTGTTATTTCTTATAGCAAAACAACATCCCATTACAGTCATAATACCACAGTTTAATATCCTCCCTCCAATTGATGGGCGTCTCTTCAATTTCCGATTCTTAGCCACCACAAAAAGAGCTGCTATAAATATTTTTGTACATTATAGGTCCTTTTCCCCTTTTATGGGGTTGTCTTTGGGATATAGACCTAGCAGTGGTATTGCTAGATCAAATGTTATGCACAGTTTTATAACCCCTTGGTCATAATTCCAGAATGGCTGAATCAGTTTACAACTCTACCAACAGTGCATTAGTGTCCCAGTTTTCCCATATCCCCTCCAACATCTCCTTTTTTGTCATATTAGCCACTCTGATAGGTGTGAGGTTGTACCTCAGAGTTGTTTCAATTTGTATTTCTCTGATCAGTAGTGATTGAGAGCATTTTTTCATGTGACTATAGACAACTTTGAGTTCTTTGTCTGAAAACTGCCTATTCATATCCTCTGACCATTTATCAATTGGGGAATGACTTCTATATATTTGAGAAATGAAGCCTTTATCAGAGATACTTGTTGCAAAAGTTTCTTCCCAATTTTCTGCTTTCCTTATAATTTTGGTTGCATTGGTTTTGTTTATGCAAAAATTGTGTAATTTCATGTAATCAAAATTATCTATTTTACGTTTTGTAATGCTCTCTATGTCTTCTTTGGTTCTAAATTCTTCCCTTATCCATAAATCTGACATAACTATTCCATGCTCTCTTAATTTGTCTATGGTATCATCCTTTGTGTGTAAATCATGTACCCATTTTGACCTTATCTTGGCATACATTGTGAGATATTGGTCTATACCTAGTTCTGCTGTACTGTTTTCCAGTTTTCCCAGCAGTTTTTGTCAAATGATGAGCTTTTGTTCCAAAAGCTTGAATCTTTGGGTTTATCATACACAAGATTATTGTGGTCATTTACTATAATGTAATTTGTACCTAATCTATTTCACTGATCTACCACTTTGTTTCTTAGCCAGTACCAGATAGTTTTGGTAATTACAACTTTATAATACCGTTTTTGACCTGGTAAGGCTAGACCACCTTCTTTTGTATTTTGGCTGGTGTATTGTCCCAGGCTGGAGCCTTGCTACAGGCCTCCTGCAGTACTCATAGCTGCTTCCCTGCAGTTCTGAGGTGGTTTTCTAGTTGTTTGGAGGGGGATTTGGGAGAGTTTCAAAAGGGTTCCTTTCTCAGTCTGCCATCTTGGCACCAGAAGTATGAGTTAGATATTCTTAATGTAAAACACTACTTGATTCTTTCCTGTTTCCTCCATTCGCCTTTCTACCTACCTCCTTTATGTTCTTTCTTAATAATATACCTTTTTAGAACCTTATAGTAATTATGGGCTTCATTCTACCAAGTTTCAGTGATACTTGTGTGATCAAATTTACCTTGCATTAAGTTTTCTAGGCCATTTTACTTGTTATTCATATTTTTCATTTGATTACTAGTTATTACCAACTCTTATAAGCTTAAGAGTTTTCTGTCTTTTTATATGTAGCTATTTTCATTGATATATAGCTTCAGAATACATTTTCTCCCCTCCCCCATATCTCTTAGATTTGCGAAATTGCCACATACATTCCTACTATTGTTACATTTATATATATGTTCCAAGCCATTGGCCTGAAACACAGATCTCATCTCCAGTATCAACTTTTATCTATTCCTTTCCCAAGTCTACCTTGGGACGCCCCTTCTTTCTGGATGTCAGTGTTGAAAATATGCCTGTGCCACTAAAGTCTTCAGTACCTTGACCAAGACTTCTAATTTTTGGAAATGCTTTCTAGCTTACTCTTGAGTACAATCTGTGTCCACGTGAATCACCAGAAATATGCTATAAATGGCCTTATTTGACAAATCTTGAAGAGAATTTCTATAAATTCTGGATGTAAACATTGGAGAAGGACAGCATGACCTCATTGCTATCAGATTAATTAAAAAAAACAAACAAACACCCTCATCAGGGAGTCACCACCTACCATTAATAATCTCTTTTTTCCTCTGACCTTCATTGGATATTCTCTTACCTAATGGCACCTGTGGATCTACATTATTATTCCTTGGAGAATAGGGAGCTTCTTCAGATAACTGATCTCCTTCCTTTCTTGAAAAGGGCCATATAAATTGTTAATGAGCTTTCTACTCATTAACACTAACTAAATGTAACAATTAATTTAGGCTAATTTTCTCTTAGAAATTTCCTTTTAAAATATTATTAGAATAATAGATTTAGATCCAGAGGGACATTAGAAATCATCCAATCCAGGGGTTCTTAACAGCGAGTCTGTTAACTTGGTTTTTAAAGACTTTTATAAGCCATTATAATTGGTTTCCTTGTAATCCTATGTAGTTTATTCTGTGCATTTAAGAATATTATTCAGAAATAGGTCTATAGACTTCATCAATAGTGCAAAGGAGGCACAAAAAGGGTTAAGAGCCTGTAATCTTTAATAACCAAAAAGCTCAAAAGCACACAGGGAGCAAGAAGACTGAGGATCTGAACTGAGTCCCCTGACTCGTAAATCAAGTGTTCTTTGCATTGCATTCTGCTGCAGCCTACTTTGTTTTAAGTACAACTGATTTGAGATTAGATAAGGGTTATCTTTATTGGGGGGGGGGGGGGGGGCTGGCTATTTAACCCTTTGTATCTTTTAGTTTTCAGTTGGATTTTATTCCTTTGACCAAGCACCTGTGACAGGAAAAATGTTTTCTTTGTTTTTAGTTTTTGTCTGTTGGGATTAGTATATTATATATTCATATGATCAGGCTCATAATAAACAGATATGTTAATTTTATGAACTGACTATTTTATTCACCAACTTAAATTCAAAAATTTATATTTGAGATAATTTGCAAATAATTTGAGGTACTACCAGCCTACGTTTAAAAGAAAAATTTAGCTGATGACAGGTTTGAGTTTCTGAATCTTAAATGTTCTCTTTAATGCCTTGTTTATACTCTAAATGGTGATTGTATAAGTTGGGTTGAGGTCAGGGTAGTGAGTATTGAACCTATTTGCTTGACTGTTTTTCTTTGTAATTGTAGGGTTTTCTTAGGATTTTAGAGCTGGAAAGAGCCTCAGAGATTATCTAATCCAATCTCATCATTTTATAGAAAAAGTGACTAGTATCTGAAGAGGTTAAAGTATCTGACATGTGGTCAGAAAAGTAGCAGAATCCAGATCTTTGCTTTTTCTTTATGCCTAAGTGTTAATGATGGTTTCCTCTTTCCATTATTATTTCTCTAATGCACTATTTATTTGGTGACTTGGCATATTTTAAAGAAATAGCCTTTTTTCCCTTTTATCTAGTCGGTAAAGTATCCTAATATAATGAATATCAGTTACTTAATTAGAGGCGTACTGGACCCATAGTCAGGAGACCTGACTTTTAGTTTTGCCTCCATAATGTATTTTAAAGTAAGACTGAACAGGTTATTTAACCTCATGTAGCCTCAGTTCCTTTACCTCTAAAATGGGTGTGATACTTGTACAATCATTAGCATAGTACTATTGTGAAGAAAATGCTTTGCAGGTTTTATAGTGCCATTACTGAATTGCTTTTTAAATATTCATTTTGATGTCCCTTATTTTGTCATAAGGGACAGTTCACAAGAAGTAAAAAGTATGTAAATTATAGTAGATATTCTTGATCTATGCCAAAATAGGAACAGAAACCCCCAAAAAAGTAGATGCTCATATGTTTATATCAATGCTACTTTTACATTTTAGAAAAGCCATTATGCATTATTTTGAAGTTATTAATGCATGTGGATTTTTAATTTTCTCCCCTAGAATTGTCCAAGAGACAACCTTTGATCTGGAAGGAGATATTCATAGTGGAACAGCCATACCCACAAGCAAGGTAACTGACTATCTACTGCGTAGTAGAACCGTGTTGTATTTGGTCATAATTAAACCTTTTTAGGTAAGACTTTATTGTTGCTTTTTTCCCTGGACTTATGCCTTCGTTGGTGTAGTGAACTCACTTTAGCAATACAAATTTGCATATATTGTGCAACTTACACTCTTAGAGCATTGCCAGGGGTCCCTGGAGGTTCAGTGACTTCTGTAGTCACATGGCCAGTTTGTGGATAGGGGCTGCTCTTCTGATTCTGAAGCCTCCTTATCTACTATATCTCCCATCTCTTTTCTACATATAACTTAGTGGTATTTAAAGCTGAAATCCTAAGGGATTCCTACCTAAAATATCAACAGTTCATGGTATCTGTAAGATTAAAAAAATGATCAGTCTTGTCTTTCCTTTGTGCAGGGGACCATCTTGCAGTTCCTTATTACTCTATTCTATGACTTAACACAGGGGTAAGAGAATAAAAAAAGTCTAGTGTTAAACAGATGGCACCCTCTTCCATTCCCAGTACTGTGCAGCATTGTAAATGGCATTCATTCAGCCAGTAGAGTCACTCTAACATCAGTAATGTTCTCTGAAAATTCTTTGACCTGTCTTTCATATTTGTAGAAATTAAAAGGTGTGATGTATAATTACATATATGTAGCTATAATTAGCAGCAAAAATTAAATTGTATATTTTATCTTTTGAGAGTTATAGATACATGAGAAATTTGTTTTATACTATTTAATTACAAATAAGTGGAATTGGTGATAGCTTGCTTTGTTGATATGTTAAAAGCATTCTGCAAAAGCATTTTGAATTCATGACAGACAACTTTATTTTCCTGACACCTTCAAATTCAGATTTAAAAAGAAGGTAATAGGAATCATTTTTACATAAAAATATAACTCCTTTCTGTGTCAATTTATACTCCCTAAAACAGAACTACATGTAACAAGCTTCTTATTTTTCTCACCCTCCAGCGGAGTGTCAGGAGAATTTAATTATGTTTGTGTAAAGTACTACTGCTAAGATTTGAAGTTTTGTTGCCATAATACTATTCTTAATAAATAATTTGTGTATTGAAATAAATAAATGTACTGCAGTTTTCTAGAGAAATGAGTTTGTATGTTTTTGCTTTAAGAAGGATATTCTAACATGATACTATGACAGAATATTTGGTTTTCTTACCATGTTTTCAGTGGTATAAGTATCAAGTTACTATGCCATTAAAATCTTTGCCTTCAATTTTATTCCTAAATTCATTTAGCGATTATTTGTATTCATAGTACTTGGAAGAATGGAAATTAGCCCTCGAGCAGAGTAAGTGGTTTAAATGATGTCTGAATACATGGGGGTACAGTAAACTTTATTATTGTAAATTTGGGTAGATCTTAGACGCTCAGTTATGTCTCCATATCTCATAAATAACTCCTGAAACCCAGCCTCCATCATATATTCATCCTCTCTTACCTTCCCGTTCAAGTGCCACCCTATCCCACCGCTGTTGTGATTTCAGAACGGGGAGAGTGAAACTGAGTGAGTCCCTAATATCCTGGTTGTGTAAGGCCTCACCATTAAGATATGGAAGGGCTGCCATTTCCAGTACATTTTATGTCCTATTTAAGTGGTGTGGTGATGCCTTTTTATTTGGTTTAAGTTTAAATTCAGAATTTAGATTTCAACGCTATACATGTAGCTCACTTGACTTAATAGAATATACATAGTAACTTGGATTGGATGTTTTATTGTTTTTATTCGTTTTTTTTTATAATGATGTTTGTCTATCATAGGGGTTTGTTCATTTGTCTGGCTCTAAAATGTTATACCCTACTAAAGTGACTTCCAACATTTTTTTAATATAACTAATTCTCTTAGATATTTATTGAGTCATTAGAAATGTGTTTCTTGGTGACACTTAAATGTACTAAATTAGATGGGCAAAATCCTGCGTATTAGGTACACAGTTTTAACAGAAACTGTATTTTCCCTGTATTTATTTAAGGACATAAAATAAGTCTGGGAAGAACCAATTTTAGTACTAAATAGTACTAAATACAGGTTAGTGCCCTGAGCCTTAGTTAGCAGGATTTTTGAAGCCCTTCAAAGAAAACAACCGAGCACCCTATATAATTGCACGTAGCTGGCAGGAAATGCCTTGATTTAAAAAAATATATATATATATATATATATGTATATTTCCTTTTAGAAAAGGATGACTAGAGTCATCTAGTCATGAGGGGAAAATAATAGCCCTGCTTTTAACCTTTTTCATAAAAGAGTAACTCTGGGGCTTTAAAATTCCTGGTAGCATTTGGTCAGGAGCTGCAGCAAGTTGTTTTATTATGTTTTGAATGGCTAGTGTGCTCTTAGATATGTCCTGTCACTGTGGTCAGAACACCTGCTGCATTGCTGTATTATTTTTCTGGTCTGCATTCCCTACCTCTGCATTCCCTCCCTTGTCCTTCCCCTTTTGGCAGCCTTGAATCAATTCTTTACTCCTGATGATGAGCATAAAGCTTGGTTGGTCTGTGTGGTCTGTTAAACTCACTCTTGTTTTCCTCTTTGACTTTAGAGTACCACCAGACTGGACAGCGACAGGATATCATCAGCATCAAGCACAGCAGAACGAGGGATGGTGAAGCCAATGATCAGAGTAGAACAGCAACAAGACTATAGAAGACAGGACAGCAGGTAGGTGATTTATAGCCCTTGCATTTACTAATGAAGTAACCAGTTCATTCTTCCAGAAAGGCTTGAGATTTTAGTTTAGAGAGATTTCTTTACCTTTTTTTCCCCTCATTAAATGTTAAGGACAATATTTTTCTGAGAACTCTCCTTTTATTCTGCTGGAGTCAAAGAAATTCCCCTGACAAATAATTTCTTTTTCAATTAATAAAGTGAATACAAAAATTCACATTTTAAATCCATGCTGTTCTCAAGGGGTTATTCTGTATAGCTGTCTTGTTAACATGATCTCATATATGAAATCATAATCCTGCAGTGTTTATTCCTAGAGAAAACTGTATATTCAAAATTAATCCATTTCAACTGGAAAAGAAACCCTTTAATTTGTGAAAACATGAAACTAAATAATTTTAAAATATTTAAAAAGTAGCTTTTGGTAACAGCTTCTGATTAAGTCATATTGTCAGTATGATATGCCTTCTAGCATAAGCTTGAAAGAAGACGTGGAATTGCAGGCTGATTTTTTTTTTTTTTAAATCTAGTACTGCAGAAGTCTCATTTTATGAACAAGGACTTAAGCTTTGTTATTTCTTTCCTTTTAATATCTGAAACATTTCTGACAGTCTGGTTAAGAGGGTAAAATACTATTTCAGTGTGACTGAAAAAAAAATTTTTTTGGAAAGATAATACCTTTGGATTAGAGGGTGTGGATTTCGAATACTGATTAGTATAAACTGCAGCATTGCTACTCAAAAGCTTTGGATGATTCTGAGTGAGAAAGAGGGTAGCATATATTCATTCAATCAATACGCTGAGCTCCTAATCAATAATTAATAGGTAATGATAAAGAATGAGTTTAGCCCCTTATCCAAAAGAGGCTTACAAATCTATCAGAGTGGATAAGATGTATATAAATGCAGCCTTAATGTTTGTGGTTCCTTTATAGTTTTTATAGTATGGCAATCATAATTCTGTTAATGACATCTGACCACATGTTTTCATCATGCCTTTTTGGTATAAGCAGAGAGAGTTGAAATGAATGACTTGCCCAAGGTCACAAGTCAGTGTCAGAAGATGAAGCCACATTTCTATTTCTCATCTCCCAGTAGAGGGCACTGCAGATTGCAAGATTATTGTATTGGAATCAGAAAGTAAACAGTAAATTAATAAAATAGATTCACTTAGGATTTTATAGGCCCTTTGTACTTTATTATTTCTTTATTTTGGTTGACTTCTATATGGAATATTTCATAATTATGCTACTTAAGTATTTTAGATGTCTTTTTATCTGTAAAATGGGAGGTTTGAACTAGGTGACTTCAAAAGGCTCCCAAGAACCTTTAAATCTATTTTTCTTTGATTTTTGGTTTTATAAATACAATAAAATGCCGTGTCAGGATTGATAAATTATTAGTAGAAACATTTCTATTGATGTATTCATATCATTACTGAGAGAATATAGTAAGGTAGAATATTGCTGCGTAGAAATGTAAATATATCATTAGGCTAACACTAATACAAAATAGGCTTTTAAGTTTAATCAGAAGTAAAATTAAACTTCTATATACATTTATATAGTATAGAACGATTGAATTTTGGAGGCTGGCTCCTCCCGCCCCAAGAAAGTAACTATTACGATTAACTTTTTGCTGTTATTTATGTTCATTTCTTTTGCTCTCTATGTATAATATGTACTTCTTGCTCTCTATGTAACATATGCTCATTATAATTGATACTTATTTTAATGACTAATTTCTTATAAACAAGACAAACAGTCCTAAAAACCTTACCAATGTGCATGTTACTTGCATTAGTAACTAAACATTAGTTGCATGTTTAGTTAAATATTTTAGTCATTGCCTGAAATGTAAATTATTTTCCAAATATGGTGACTTAGTTGAAATGATTTTTAAAAATAGGTCATTTATACTTATCTTGGCAATATACTAAGAGGCATGAACCCATCACAAATGAAAGACCAACAATGGCCCCAGAAAACTAATAGTGAAATATAATTCCCTCTTAGCAGAGATGTAGGGAAGATTCCCTGGGGAAAATGTTGTATATATTGTCACATGAGGTCATTGTATCTGATGTTTTGGCTTAAGTGTTTTTCTTAGTTAATAAGAAGCTTCCATGGAGGCAGGGTCAGTATTGAAATGGCATATAATTCCAGAAATGACCCATATTTAAAACTAAAAGATATTAATAAAACTTATTTAAACTCATGCATTCTAGAATGTAAAGGAGCATATTGGATCATGTAAAATTAAGAGAAAAACCAAAGATTTGAATTAAAATTAATGACTTATTTTAAAACATAGCAAATTTTTTATTGGGGTAAATTAATTTTAATAGTGGTAGCAACATGTTTGGAGTATTCATTCTGTTTTTCTTCTTTATATCTGCCTCCATCCCATTTTTTATTACTTTTTGTTGTTATTGTTGTTAAAGACATCTTTGCCCTTTACAAAAAAAGAATATCAATTCTTTTTATTGTGGGGTTGAGGAGAATGAACATTCCATTTTTGGTTAAACCTTTTTAATGGTGAAAAACCAGGAGACCTAGTTTCAAAGCCTTCTTTATGGGATTTTGAACACATTTCTGGATTTCAGTTTCTTCATCTATAAAATGAAAGAATTGGATTAGTTCGTCTTTAAAGTCATTTTTAGTTCTCAGTCTATGAACATGAGGCATAAACCAGAGTAGAAATATTTTAGTGCTGAAAGTGCTTTAGCTAATCTACTCATTGGTAAATGTAAGCACTATTTTTTCCTCATATTTTTGACTTTTGTTGTTACTACCAACATTTGTCACTTCTCTAAGTAACTGAATTGTGAAAATATGTCTAAATAACTAAAATTTTATGCATTGATACTTATGTCGTTTTATCATTTTGCTGAATATGAAGATTAGTTATTCCAGAAAGTAAGCATTTGGGTTTATCTTTGTCTGGGGCAATATTTAAATTGCTGGTTTTTAAATCCTTGTTTTCATTTTAGTGTAGACTTTTTTTGCTGAGTATTTTTTGGAGGGCATTGATGGGGGGTGGGGATGATGTTACATATTTCTGATTAAATTGGTGTTAGGAACTAGTGTTGTAGGCATTATTGCCACTGCTGCAGTAGAACAGTGCCTTTGCAGTTTATAGTCTTAGTTACCTCATTGCACTGAGAGGTTAAGCAACTTGTGGTCACATAACTGTTATGTGTCAGAGGCAGGGCTTAAACCCTGGTCTTCCTGATTACAAAGTTAACTCCTATCAACTGCCATTCTTTCATTTCAGTATAAGACATTGAGTTATTTGGTACCATCTTATTTTCAGCCAGGCTTTAATAATAAATCTAGAGTTTTAGAATTTCCATCTTAAGATTTTTTTTCTTCTGACTCGTCAGCTTGACTAGAATTTTAAAACTATTAGTTTTTTGAAGTAAAATACACCCAATCAGTGGCATGGCTAAATTTTTCACATAAATGTTAGAAATTTGATTTGTAGTCTTATTGATAGAGTTAATTTAGTCATTATGAATTTGTTCTAATCTTGGTCCAACTGGTAGGAGAGTTGTGGAAAATGATAACAAAATGCAGTTGTGCATTTTGTATACATTATACAAAGTATACTACATACAAAGTATATATGTAATTTTATAATGTGTTATTTGCAGGACAAATAGTTTACTATGTAAGAATTCCAAGGCAAGAATTTGTTAGAAGATAGTTTATATTTTAAGTACTAATCTTTAAAGGGTTTTGTGGAGATTTCTTTTCCCAAAGCATTTTTACTTATTGCTTATTTCTAACTGAATCTATATGAGCTATCAGGTAGGCTTAAAAAGTACCATAGGGTGGACTTTTTTCAGCTATATCATAGGAGTTTTCTTGTTTCTCAAAAACTGTGTGTATGCATAAACATCTTTGGCATCATAGTTTTATTATGATAATTGCTTTGTTTATAAGCTAATGGGTTGTTGTGAGAGACATCACTTTAAAGAAGGCTTCCTTGAAACACATTTAATTCAAGGGAAATTCCAGATAGCAGTATTTTCAGTGGAGGTGGGAGGGAAGAATTCATCTGATTGTTTGTCTCTCTGTCTCTTCTTTTCTCTTCTTCCCCCCCACCCCTTCCCCATTAGGGAAGAGCCTAAAACAACCATATGTGAAGGAAAATATTGGGATTCACTTTCAAAGATCTAATATATCCCTGTTTCTCTAGGAACAGAGATTCAACAACTTCTTTTAGGAAACAGAAGTGTAGTTTCAAAGTATGGGGAAGTGTCTTAAGTGCTTTGACTTTACACATAAATTTTCAATTTTATATAAATGCATTTCTCTCAATCTGTTTCAAAACATGGTTCATTTTTCCCCCTTGGTCTTTATTATTGGCTATGTTAATTGTTACTTGAGCCACAGATGTGGCAGGTGCAAGCCTTATTCATCCCAGTATAAAAGATGTTCATCAATAATGCAGAAGCATGTTTCCAGGCTCTCCTGTGACCTTTCACCATTATGGGACTGTACAACTTGGATGAAACTTCCATGAAGAAAAGTAGTAAGGTGGTTTTGGACTCCCATTACCAAACTTACTCTGAATAAGTTACAAATGAAAACAAGGTATTAGTACTCTATCTTTCTCAACTTTGGGCAAATGTACAGGAAAGTCAAACTACTCGAGAAATCTACCTTATTTAACAATGGTATTGATTTTAATTATGTGAATTGGTTTATTGAATATCTGCTTTCTTCCTGTAGAAGTCAGGATGCCCCTGGTCCTGAATTGATACTGCCTGCAAGCATAGAATTCAGGGAATGCTGTAAGTATTTTCAAATTTCGGTTTAAGTATTAATTGTTCCACTTTCCTCCTTTTGATAACTAATTTCTTAATCTTTTCACAGCTGAAGATTCATTTTTATCAGCTATTATAAATTATACAAATAGCTCTACAGTGCATTTTAAGCTGTCACCTACATATGTGTTATATATGGCATGTCGGTATGTGCTGTCAAGCCAGTACAGACCGGAAATCAGCCCTACAGAGCGTACTCATAAAGTCATTGCAATAGTTAACAAGATGGTGAGCATGATGGAAGGAGTTATTCAGGTGAGTGTCAATCTGCTGTATGTAGGCATTTCTTTTTCCTTTTGAGGGATTCTTTTGGAAGAAAAGTGTTAAAGTTATAGTGTGCAAGGTAGCAAAGCTGTTTTTCTTGGAATTTATATATAACTTTAAAAGAAATTTTTTTTCTTCTTGTTCTTCCATTCTTTCCCCTACAATTAAGAAAAGAAAGTTTTACAAATTTATTACATGGATTCTGAGTTCACAGTGGTGCTAAATATAAGATGCTTTTAAAAGGCAATTATTTGTGAAGACTATTTTGCCAGGTTCATATCTTTCCCCTTACCCCCATGCGGAGGAGGGGCTAGGTATAGCAACTTTTTTTCCCCTTTTATTCTAATCTATAATTTATGTGCAAATTATTTCATTAGATAATTTTTAACAACTAAGGGAGAAATGTTAGAAACAAAGAAGGCAGCTCTTGTTAGACTAGTTTTGTTGTTTAAATACCGTATGTACACAGTTAGACCAGTGAACACATTTCTATTTTAAAGTTGTATAGTAACTCAAACCTGCTTGAATTTACAGGAAGGGCTACATTTTTAAGCTTTGAAATTTATAGTTAAACAAATTGACAGTTCAGAATTAGTTTGTAAAGTTGACGTCAATATTCTTGGCATTCTTAACATTAGGACTGGCTTATGTATTGCTTCATGAATCATTACAAGTTAAATTGGTGGCATATCATAATTCCATGCTTGTTTTTCAGCTGAGTAATTTGAATTCCTTACCTAGATGATTTTAGTATAGCTTCTTAAATGTTAATATTTGAAATAGAGGGTAACAACTAAAATGTTTAGAGAATGATCACTGACTTTTGTTTTTTATCTCCTAGGGAATTAGATTTGTCTGGGAACTTTGATAATTTTTAGCCCATTTGTATAGTTTTTCTGATTTTAAGCATGTTTGAGTTTTAAAGTTAGAGGATAGCTTTTAAAATGTGGACTAGAATTGTTGGCTGATAAATTTCCTTACCTGAACCTGGAAATAATTTTTTTAAAGTAGCAACTTGATCATCATAGCATTCTCTTAGCTTTTTTTTTTTAATTTATTAAACAAATGTGGTTTTGCTTTTTATTTGTCATTTGAAACCATTGCTTGTCTCCAATTCCTTTCATATTTTCAAAAGTTAACTTCAAAGCAAGAAGCTCTACTGATACCAGAATATTTTGGAATGGGCTCTTTCCCATGCATTTTGATCTAGAAAATAAAATTATTATGAAAACAACCTTTTTGGATCTTTAGCTCATATTCCACAAATGGAATTAGCAAAGCAACAACT